AGGGCTAATTTGGGAAATTGTTATTCGAGCATCGGTTGAAGAAATAACAATATATTTTTTATCAATAGGGATTATATCGCTGATCGGCAACACCGGAAAATCTGATTTTTTACTTTTTTTCTTTGGGGGGATGTATCACTTAATAGATAAAATCTATTCGGGTTTTTGTCTGGCGGCCCCGGGGCCATTATGCCTTATTGTTGTCTATTTATTATTATTTTTGAAATAACCACTCACTTGAAAAGGTTTGGGAACTGTGCAAGAAGGTTGGGAACTACTAAAGAAAAGTGTCAAATGTTTTCAATTTTTTTTATTTTGTTTTTTTGTTTTCTATTTTTTATTATATATAGACGAAACAAAAGCACATACGCGATATCCGCGTTGACCAGTTTTAGCAATAACACTGAAAAGACAGAAGTTAAATACACAAAAACACCGAAAACATCGAAACAATTGAAAAAACGCAGACGAATAGAAAACACGCACTACACTGAACACAAGTCGACTCGTCTATGATTAGGTTTTTATGCAGAAGGAATTTAAAATTTATATAGTATGAAAAAACTTACACCAGTTTCTTTAAGAAGGAATTTCAAATTTGTATAGTATGAAAAAAACTTACACCAATTTCTTTAAACAAATATCTGAAAAGTAGTGACTTTGAAGGATCAAATTTGAAGAATGCATCAGAATTATCGCTACAACGCCAAGTGATTTGTGGCAAACTGAAGTCTTTCAACACTATAATTATATCAGCAGGTACCGACTTTTTGGCCACTTCACAAATGAGGTCAGCATGTTTCTTATAAATAGATATATACGCATTTGTGGCAATATAGAAGCAAGTTATATATAACTGTTTATTCTTAGGCAGAAATTGAAGAAGCTTAATAGTAGGACGAGCACCGTTCCCACATCACTGTGGATGTTCTGAGGTTGGCCGAGAAATTAGGCCTGAAATGTGCAGTGCAGACAATGATGGACCAGCTTATTGCAGACGGTAGTAATATTGTAGATCTTCTCCTTCAACAAACAATAAATGATAGCGACATTGAAAAAGGATTTTTAAGAATCAACGAAGGCGACACAGGCGGGGTAGCTATAAGCTAAAAAAGTATAACGTCATTCCGTTATTGGACGTTTTCTCCGACAAATTCTAGTCTTAGATTCCTAATATGTTCTTGCACCAACGGCCTAGAGCGAGCACGGTAATGGTAATGTTATGGTTTGGCATTGTAAAAAAAAGAGGGTTATTTAAGGATATTGAAGGGAAATTTAGGAGAAACTACAGGCAAACTTGGTAGCCTGAAGCATAAGTCTCGCTTAATTCAAGACTCTTACATAACTTTCAAAGTGCTTCACCCTCTTCTCCAATCGCCAGGCGTGAACTTCATCAAATATATGTGGAATGAATTAGACCGGCGTATACGAAAACACTCAATCTCTCCCGTCCGAAATGTGAAAAATACTCTATAAAAAGAATGGAGTAAAATCCCAAGACATATTATACATAATATGTCAAAACGTTTAAATGACATTATTAGGCAAAAGGGGTACTCCACCGAATATTAATTTTTAATAATATTCATATATTATCCAAAAAAAAGCCAAGTTGATTTTAAAAAAATGTTCTCATAAATATATTAAAAACAAAAACGGCCAAGCTCAAAAATATCAACAGTTGAAAAATTTTGCTTGCGCGCTTACATATAATTGCTTGAGGGAACGTACGCACAACCGCAGACAAGTATTTTTGCTTTCACGCACAGGTCTATTCAAAACGTCATAATACAGCATATACATGATCGTAGTGTAGGCTTGCACATACTTGTCTTACAAATTTCAGTCAATGTTCTCACTTCAGTTTCAGAGTACTCTCTTTCTCTCTCTCTCTTACGATCTTTAATGTCGTTTTTTTATCGCATGTTCTGGGCTAGTACTTAATAATCGCGCAAATGTTGCTAGCGAAATGTCGTATCTTATATATATATAATACCTTTGTTCATATATAATTTTAGTTTGTTTTATGCTTTTATTGTCATTATGATAAGAAAACTTATATCCGTATATACATAAAACTAGTATTGTGATTCCATTTTCCGTTTTTATGTAAGTCCAGGTGTTATTCGACGTTTGAGGATGGCGTTTTTAGAGCGGAGTAAGGAAATTGCCTCGATGAGGCGTTATTCCTATTTTCGGTTCGATACTTCCACTTTGCCGACTTTTTACAAAACTTTATGGGAATTGTCAAAACATACACTTTTTGATGTATACAAACAAATAGAACAAAAAGAAAACATCGCACAAGAAGAAATTAAGGCAATTTATTTTAAATTTAGAAATAAGTTATTTAATTTATATTTACCTTACACTAATTTACATTTTTTTCATATTATGTGACTTGAAATTTGGTTTATACTATGCATTATTTTGCAAGAAATGAAAAACCAACAATAAAGGCCATTTATTTTAAAGTTGAAATATATTCATTAAACTGTTTTTTAGAGAGTGATAAATGATAGTTTCCAAATTGTAGATGAATGAACACACAAAACTGTACCTAATATATATACCCACATATCTCTTATCAATCTTCTTTATCACTAATAGGTCAACAAGCTTTTTTACTGTTATATTAACTTTCTTACTGTTATTTTCTAAAATGTGTTGTTTATATCTATTTAATTTCTTTATTTTTGGTTCTAAAACCATATGTTTTTGTTTACAGTAACTATAAAAAAATATGGTAGCGCAACTGTGTTTACCACTTAGGAGTTTTTAACTCGAACGCGAAAGTGACACCCCAAATAGCCAGAGTGATTTAGCTGAAAGGAATTAAAAATTAATTAGTCAATTATTAAATAATTCACGATGCCTTCTTTTTGTGCTGTAATCAATTGCAATGATAGATATGGTCACTCGGACAATATATCCTTTCATAAGTATGTAAACTAAAGATTTTATTCCTTCAATAAGAGCGGTTACTTCTCCTTATCACAGATTTCCTTTAAAGCGTGCAGATCTACTAAAGGAATGGGAAGCGTTTATTCAGCAGCAACGGGGACAGGACTGGCATGCTTCCCGATGGAGTTCATTATGTAGTCGCCATTTTCGAGAAGAGGACTTTCGTTCATTAAATGAACGCAAAACTCTTAAAAAATCAGCTGTACCATCGGTTATGTTAAATCCAAAAGAGAAGACGGCTAAAAAGTCAAAGTTAACCATAGACGATGTCAAAGCTAAAGAAGCGCAACAAATACAAGGTATAAAAGAAAGCCTGGAGGACATGAGCAACAATGTAGTCAGGAGTAGTTGCCGTTTATGCGGTATCTCTTCGATACCTGCTGCTACATTTCTAACCAATTACGAACTATATGGTATGCTCCAAAAATGTTTTCCTACTTTAAATATTCAGCAAGAAGACCCTTTACCTAAAATATTGTGTGCCAATTGCCTAAAAAATTTGCAATTATTCGGTAGCTTTGTAGATAAAGTAAGAGATGCTCAAGAAGAATTACAAAGAAAATATCGCACACGTATGGTGGAAAAGGCCATTAAAATTAAACAAGAGCCAGTGGTAAGAGTTAAACAAGAAGTAGCCGAAGCTGGCTACGAACAGTCGCAAGATTTCCCCATAAACAATGAAGAATATGACGGAGGTGATCAACAAGCTGAAGGGACAGAGAGTGAAAGAAAATATGAATTTTGTGATTTTCCAATAATAAATGATTGCGATATTATGGAAATTATAAATTTGGATGATCCCTTCATAAATATACCCGACGATGATAATACCACATCGTTGAATGAAGAAAGTGAACAGTACAAAGTAGGAGAGGAACAGCTCATGCAACAAATACTACCATCAGCTCACGATCTCCTGCAAACGCACTTGCTACTAGAGGAACATAATTATGCGTACGTTGAGACAGAAGATTTCAAGGAAGAACGTAATTTCTATAAAACGGAGAAGACTGAAGGCTACGAACAAAATAGTGAAAATCCCTCCAACTCCCCATTAAATACAAATTCAAACGTTGCCACTGTGGACAGAGAGGAAGCATATCACCATCAACATACTTTAACAACCAATCCGACACTAGTGCCAACTTTAGCGCAACACGATTTTGATATACCGCATGAAAATCGAGCTGTGAAGCCTATAGTAACTTCGGTTAGTGCCATTCAACAACCTATTAAGCCGAACGGTATTGTCGTACTCAACGAAAGTATAGTAAAATCCGGCAACGGTTTTCAATTGCACGCTTGTATGGTGTGCCAAATGAAATTTTTTAGCGTGGAATCCTTAAAACAACATTACACACAAACCCACGGTACTCCAATGGTAAGTGTTCCAAGCATCAATTTGGAGAAAAGTCAAGACAATACTTGCAAAACTGAAACGGATACCAAGTGTGCAGACCAGCAAATTCAAATAGTGAAACACCACGACGTTTTACAACCACCTGAATCAATTTTGAGCAATTGTGATCCCGCTCCTACCAAGCAGCAAAAGACAATTTTGATAAGTAATAAATGTAAAATGCCGAGAAGAAAGCGTTCTTTGCATTATAATTTAAACACAATGGCTCTGCATTATCAACAGTTGAGAAGATTCTGCAAAAAGTTGCAAAAGAAATGTCAAAATCTGGAACAAAATGTTGAGCAATTGCAATCACAGCCGACTATAAAATCGCTCAAAAACTTTTCCAAAATCAGAAACACAGTAAATGCTTCTTTACAATCAATTAAATGCAGCCAAGCGAAGAATCTCAATAAGAAGCAATACCAGAATGAGTTTCTTAAATTTGAATGTTTGGTGTGTTCGAAGAACTTTAGTAATGGGAACAGTTTACGTCAGCACAAAATAACCCATACTGAAGAGCGGAAACATAACTGCGGACTATGTCATCGGGCATTTAAACGGCGTAATGGATTGCTGCAGCATTTGAAAGGGTTCCATTTGCAAGTGAAACCTTTTACCTGCCCCGTCTGCGCTCATTCGTATGCTTTAAAATGTGACATGCAGCGGTGTAAACATTCTTTACTGAAAGTAACCCAAAATCAAGACGGCAGTAATAACAATAATAATAATAATCTTCCCGGTAAAAAATCAAACGCAACGTGACATTAAATTCATATAATAATTATCTAAATATTTCAAGCAGAAACTCTAATTTAAATAAAAAAATAATTCAAAAGAGTAAGAAAACTATTTACTTTTGTAGAATAATCTCAGTTCCGCAATGTCTGAATGCACGGCTCTTAAGGTGAATGGGCTAATCGAAATCACTGCTGCTGACTTAAAAATCCCTTTAAATTTTGCGGTGTTACGGTACAATGTTATGCCACACATTAACCAAGTACGTAAATGCCTCGGTCCCTGTTCTAATGCAAACATTTTGGTTAAAATTTCTGGACCCAGATCGTATACTACCACAGAGTAAGTTATACAGATGCCTAGCAAATAGCCAATGATGCATTATTCTACCAACAATTTTCCCGAAGCGCCGAAAGCATGAAAGCCTGCAATTGAAGAATCACGTATTTCTTAAGCAGAATCTAAGAATCTAATTTATTGGTTGCCTGATATCACATTTCCGGCTATAAACTTACTTTTTGAAAGCAGAAAGGCATCGCCAGAATGCCTACGCCGATAGTATTGTTGCTAGGATCATTACACAGCCAGCGTTTGCTCATTTTGATGATTTTAATCGTATATTATTTTTTATGAATTCAAAAGGAGGTATGGAAAAAACACCCAAAAAAAAAATATGAATTCAAAAGATGGTATGGAAACAACATATGAAAAACATTTGAATTCAAAAGGAGGTATGGAAAAAACTTACAAAAACATATGAATTCAAAAGGTAATTGAACATTATCCCCAAATTAATATTAGATCTGTTAGAATTAATACAAAACATGCTAAAAAATACAATAAGCATTCTTTCCTCAGAGCACACAAACTATTCAAACCAAAGGTATATTACAGGTATATTACAACAACATAAATATAATATTTAATAAAAGTGTTCAATGAAGCTTTCACCTTTTCCTATATTATGTCTGTAACACTGACCAAAAATTTGAAAATATTAATCAGAAAGTACTTACTATCAAATGTAAATAAACAAATAAATTAACACATCGGGAATGAAAATCTGTACAGAAACAATTCTATTGTACGAAAATGAAGTAGTCAATTCTGGTGGCATTATTACTGGCGTAGACTGGCGTATTGTGGGTGAATTTTTTATATCCATTAAGAAATAAAGCTGTTTTTAATTATTCCAACTATTTTGAGAACTGAATGTCTTATTTAATTAATGTGTTATTGCAGCTAAGGTCCAGGGCGGTTCTTATTATCCTATCACGGTTAAGAAGCATATAAGTGAAATTGGAAAAACGACAAGCTGTTGACATTCTTCAGCATAGCTAATAGTAATATGCAGAACAATCAGTGCAAATGCTACCTCGTGATTTTTTCGCAATTTCTTTCCCCGGCTTAAACGTTAGTTGGAAAGTTCAAGTATCGGAGAGAACTATATACATGGAGAATGATGTACGAACACAGACAATATTTAATAGAGTTGTCTAAATTACATTGATTCTTCTAAGTCAAGAACTAGAAATGTATGTCAAAAACCTTTTACGCATTATATAGAAGATATACAGAGAGATTTAACGCTTGGTCCAAGTTCTCGGCCACCTCCCCTTTCGAGAGAAGGGAAAACCAAGCGCAAACTCATGGCGCATCATGCGAACGCTGACCGACGAAAGAATTAGGAAAACACATCAATTGTGGTAACTTTCTTATATAAGCAGACTATTTGAAAAGACTAAGTTAGCCGGAAAAGAACATTTGAATCGAAAATAAAGTCTAAGTTAAGAATGCTGTCAAACTAAGCAAACAGTAAATAACCCTATCCTTATTTTAGTTTTGGGTTCGAAGGTTTATAAGTGGTGACACGAATTGACTAAAAATGCCATTTTTTGGCCACTTGCTGCAAGAGTTGAACAAAATGCACTGTTGCAACTCGAACGGGGAGTTATGCTACATCCAGCGTACTCACCAGACTTGTCAGATCGTTGCAGCATGGTTTAGCTGGCAATATCCCACAGTAAATGTCTTTTCAAGTGGAAAAGTGATCAAAACTATTGCAAACATCTAATATCGAAATGGTTGTAAAATTTTGTTATTCAAGTTGTTATATTAGCACAAATATTGGCCTGCAGGCAAGTGGCGTCACGAGGAGGAGGTCGATGTTATAAACTGGATACGGAAATGCTTTTTAACGGTACATCGAAGTAGGCTGTTCTGATTAAGTTATGCCATATATTTTGCACGGTTGTTGTAACTTGTTCTAATAGCTGCCGCCGTGTCACGTATAATAACGCAAAAGATGTCATACATGTAGACATTGGCTAAGCATGAAAGAAAGATAAAGAGGTATAATATAAGTATTGTCGGTAGCGTAACAATCGAAAGGCTATGGTCGTAGCAGGTCATGCGCTTTTAATATAAATCCAAAATGATAAGATGGTTGACATCACAAATATGTGTACAATTGCCAAGAACGGCTGTTAGTATATTAAGGATGCATATATACATATAAGATGAGTAATGTCACCGGCTCCAGTAAGAAGGATTTCGAAGTCGAACAGAATAAGCTTAGCACAATGTTAAGACCAAGCTGGCATTGCCTAAAAGACCGAATATAACAATTAGGCCATAAAAGTATAACATTAGTCGGCCCAGACCTTAGCGGTTGTCATTGCAAAAATCTACGAATTGCGATTAGAACTGTGTGACCATCCCTCTGGCTAATCAAACCTAAGCAAAAGCATTATTTTTTTTATTCCCTAAACTATTAGTTCGCCCCACGAATAGAGATTTTTGTCAAATCAGGAGCCTTGTTGCTAATTTTTGTGCAACAAAAAGTAATAAAATCGAGTTCCAGCGTTATTGAAGAAGCGTACATCTCTTAGAGATTGAAAATTTTGATTTAGAACAAATCCAGGTGTCTTACACGGGGGTCATGCAGGGAGAAAAATAAATTTAAAAAAAATGTCTCCGTTTCTTTTTTTTTTTAAGCCCGAAACTCTTGTTTGAAACTCTATATTTTAATCTTTCTTGTCTTCACTGATGCTACTTCTTTACGTATGTCCATAGGTTTTTTCTAGACAGTCTTCAGCATATCTCCAAAGTTATTACATTCCGACCGTAAAGGGTAACATCAATGTCAGATCAATATTGTTGACCTGCTTAGGAAGCTGACCGCTTCTAGCAAGTGACACGACAGTTAAAATCTTTACACAATTTGAAATACAATCCAGTTTCTTTGTATTGTAGGTCTGTACCTAAATTCAAATAAATCCAAATGAAGTTTGACAAGTTTGCTTCAAAGCACAGTTTTACTTGCATTGAGATTATATCAACTATATATTGAAAGTATCGCCTCTTTCCTTTTTTATGTAGAAATTAATAAACAGAAAGGAAGTGACAACAATTGTCAAAATGCGTATTATATCAAATTATTATTGTATATATAGGGCTGCAGCATAAAAAAGCAAAACATTCTCATATGTTATTATTTTTGTGGTTGCTTGGTCGATATGAGATCACTTGTTTTCCAAAGAAACTAAGGACTTAACCATACTATCAAGTCGTTGTTAAAGTAAAATATTCAAAATTATTCCTTGCCTTAGTAGACATTTGCAAGTTTAATATCGATTGCGCTTCGCAAATTTCAAGGTATCGTCTGCAGTGGGTATAATTTTAGGACGTCGTGCGCCCATTCGCAAACTTATTTAATGGTCGTCAATTGAGAATACAAACGTTAAGTTTCAACTTCCTCTCTGGATTTTTGGGCCGTGGCATCAACCGAATTTGAACGAATGAGGTAAAAGGGCAGATTGATCAAGCGGTTGATCAAAAATTTTACAAACGCAAGTGTAAATTTATCATAACAATTTTCTAGGTGATTTACGTGCCAGAGGTGAGGGTAACCTGGATTTGTTCTAAATCAAAATTTTCAATGTCTAAGAGATATTCGCATATTTCATCATATTAAGATAAGAGAGAAATGAAAACACAAAACTGAAAAATTCTTACAAAAACAAATGCAATAAATTTAACATGCCCATCTTACGATTGCAATAAAGAAAGTATAAAAAAACAACATTATATATAAATGCCGATATCGTCATGATAGAGCTGCTTCATAGCGGCCTAAAGTGTAAATGGGCATCGCTATGTGCCTATTATACTTGTTTACTGTACTATTGATCTCAAAGCCGGTCGGTCTAAAATAGAAAATAATTAAAAATAATAACACATATGACTGATGCTTAAGCATATGTTCAGCTCGCTCATTTGTTTGTTGTTGTTCTTCACAGGTATACAAATGTATGTGGATATGTTCGTATATGCAATGCCAAATAGTTTTCAATTTTGTTTTATGGGTTCTTTTTATCTATTTTAATGTCGCACAACAGTCGCACACAATCATATGCAAAAAAATTTTATTTACTTTGCGTTTTCTTTTTTTATCATTTTTGTGTTTTTTATGCCCTAAAGAATTAAATGAGCGAACTTCGAATTTTGTTACTTTTGCGGAGAAGTAAATGAGCGAACTTCGAATTTTGTTACTTTAGAGCGTAAGTAAATGAGCGAGCCAGTAGTTTGTATTTCGAAGATGCTAATGGGTGTGCCTACGTATTTAATTCTCTCTGCAAGGATAATGTTCAAATTAAAGATGTTTATGGGAAAGCATTGTTTATGTGACATAAAAAGAGGGTTTTCGAGTGAAATCATTACATAAAATGGCTGCTATATAAAAATGTAATTCCCTTTTTTGTAATTGGCTTCAAATTGGAGCTGCAGCTTTATACAATATACTTTTTTGGTCGTACAATATACTTTTCTGGTCGTACAATATACTTTTTTGGTCGTACAGTATACTTTCTGGTCGTACAGTATACTTTCTGGTCGTACAATATACTTTTTTGGTCGTACAGTATACTTTCTGATCGTACAATATACTTTTTTGGTCGTACAGTATACTTTCTGGTCGTACAATATACTTTATATCTCTGCGCTCGCTAACGGTGTTTTATTTCATTTCCGACATTTTAAACCAAAAAAATTAGTTATATGGCTCAACTAATGTACAAAAATCTACTAAAAACTAGTTTCACTACTCTTTGTTAAATAAATTTGAAATTTCATACCGGGCAAACATTTGAAAGTGCGAAGAAATTAAATTTCCTGATTTCTTTCCCAACTGGGTTTACTTCGGTGCATGTCGTTCCAAAGAAAAAATATAGGTTTTTTCTGGCTGAAAAGTTTAATAGGGTTAATTCTAACATGGTTTCCACAGCGAGTTCGTTTCAAATTTACTACGAATACCAAAAAGAGATTTTGAACAGCTGCTTATGTACTCGAATTCATTTATTAAAATTTTTCGTGAAAATTTTCCATATATAAATGCATGAATATGAATAATAAACGTTATTCTCCTTTCGGTATCTAAAAAGATTAAAAAAAGACAAAGCGACAATATTCCCCTAAAATTTTTTCGTTGACACGCTTTGATCTTGCAAAAATTGATTGTTCTTTTGGCTAATCCAAGGTTATTCAAGGTCTAACTTTTTAAATGGTAAATCCAAGTTATTCACAAAAATTTCTACAATAAAATGTCTAAATTAGCAATAATTTCCAAGAGGTTTCTCCAGAGAAGCAATCTACCTATAATCCAACAACGTTACGTGAGTTTACGGAATCGAAACAAGTATATATATTTATTCGTATGTAATAAATCTTAAAGGAAAAACTGAGTGTCATTATTTCCAGAGATTATGATTTAATTGTAATTGGCGGTGGCATTGTAGGTGTTGCCTCCGCTAGAGAAATTCTGCAACGCCATCCTTATCTGAGAGTGGCTATTGTAGAGAAAGAAGCAAAACTGGCTGCTCATCAAAGCGGGCATAACTCAGGCGTTATACATGCGGGAATATATTACAAACCGGGCACCTTAAAGGCCAAATTATGCGTTGAAGGCTTGCATTTAACTTACGCTTACTTGGATAAGAAAAAAATACCATATAAAAAATGTGGAAAACTTATCGTTGCTACTGACAACGACGAAGTAAAAAGGCTTCTAGACTTATATGAACGAGGGAAGAAGAATAATGTACCACATTTAACATTGTTGCACAGTGAGGACGAAATTCAAAAGATTGAACCTTTCTGTCAAGGTCTCAAAGCTTTATGGAGTCCCGAGACTGGTATAGTAGATTGGGCCCAGGTGACTCAGCATTACGCTATGGATTTTAAGACGGCCGGCGGTGATATATTTTGCAACTATAAAGTTCAACAATTTACAGAGACCAAAGGCGAAAAAATAGCCGCGTACCCTATTACTATACATGGTGGCCGCAATCATCAAATTTTGCTCACAAAGAACGTACTAGCTTGCGGAGGCTTACAATCTGATCTGCTAGCTGAAAAAACTGGTTGCCCAAGAGAGCCAAGAATAATTCCTTTTAGAGGGGAGTATCTCTTGTTAGCGAAGGAAAAACAACATATGATCAAAGGCAATATTTACCCAGTACCTGACCCCCGTTTTCCCTTCCTAGGTGTTCATTTCACGCCACGCATGGATGGTAGCGTTTGGTTAGGACCAAATGCAGTTTTAGCGTTTAAAAGAGAGGGCTACAAGTACGCTGATACTATAATATCAGTTGCAATTGGGTTAACATTTTGTCTTTTTTAGATGGAGCGACGTTAATATTTTTGAATTGATCGATGCGTTACGTTACCCGGGGTTTATTAAACTGGCATCAAAAAATTTTGGATTTGGTCTTAAAGAAATAATTAAATCTGCTTTTATCAATTTACAAATGAAAGATTTGCAAAAATTTATTCCCGAAATTACAGAATATGACGTTTGTCGAGGGCCAGCTGGCGTTAGAGCTCAAGCCCTAAGTCTGACGGGCGAATTGGTAGACGATTTTGTATTTGATCATGGCGCTGGTCGTAGTCCACTAGCGAAAAGGATTCTCCACTGTCGTAATGCTCCTTCACCGGGAGCCACTAGCAGTTTAGCAATTGCAAAAATGGTGGCTGATAAAGTAGAACTTGAATTTGGTATTGGAAACAAGCACTGCAATCGTACAATAAATTTAGGGTGATCGCAACTCTGTACCGGCGAAATTATATACGCCGCTGTGCAAAGTTTAGTTGGCTTAAAGCGTGTTTATGACGTAGTAATGCAGTTCACGCAGTTACATACGCAACATAAGATGACCTTGGTATTATTGTGCAAAACATATAATTTTTATATTAAGATATGTATATTCCCCGTACACTAAAATTAAACAAAAATTTAATTCACTTCAAGGACGTGCTCCTTTAGATCCCGTATCGGACCCTCCGATAGCTTTAAGAATTTTAATTTCCTTTTCTAGACGTTGTATAATGACCGCTTCTCTTAATTTGGCCTGTGACAGTCTTTGTACTTGCAAATAAATACGCGAATATTACTAAAGTCTTCGACGAATTATTTTTTTTGTTTGTTTAGAGATGGATTGGACCAGTTAAGTTAATGTTAGATCCATAATCCAGAAACGAAGTTGAGAGCGATTAATGAAAAAATTTAAGCATAGGTAGACTGATGTGGCAGAGTGTTCGCAATGAGAGGCTCTGTTCCGCTGTCAATCCATAAATCACCGTCCTTGTTACTGTACTGTCAAGATCCGGCTAATAATGCCGATAAAAGAAAAAGTGTAGGCGATTCGTGATTGTAATAGAAATACTAAATGTAAAATTAGAATGAAAACTCAGCTGATTTGATAAAGGCAGTCAGTTGCTTCAAATGCCTAAAGTTACCAGCACGAAAAATTTCATATAGATTGGTATACAGGTTAAATGTACTGAAAGATTGTCTAAGGATGTCAAACCTCCTTCGACGAATTAATATACCAAAGATTCGATCTCCACGTAAATATTACGTAAACAACAATTAACACAATTGTTCTTTGGTTTAAAAGGTATTGGAGATGATAGATTAGAATAAAATCGGGGTTTTTGGATGTTGTTTCTAAATGGGAGTGTTCTCTCTATAATCTGAATATAAAGCTTGGACGAATGATAAAAAAACTATTTGGTGGATAAAAAAACCTCGAAACTAGTAAAAATGAATATAACCTTACTTTCTGAACATAAGCATGAACCTGATAGAGAAGCATTTTGCACAATTGGGCAAAATTTCAAAAGTCAGAAAAATTATTCAGATACGAAACAATCCAATGGAATTGATTTGTACCTGTAACACAAAGCAGCTGTAAATTTTTGGTTTTGATTCTGGGAATTTTTTTCCAAAATGTCAAAAAGATGAAGAAAATTTGTTTTCTGCGGGAATTATTGGTTTAAATTTGAAAGTGAATAGTTTAAACAGTTTGAATATATCTTTTTTTTCTGAAAAGCTATCAAAGATATCGATATTTCAAATTAAAAGATTTTTACAAAAATTATACAAACCACCAACAACACTTTCTATTACTGCCAATATATTTCATTCCAATGCAGGACGCACCGCTTCATGAGCTTAAATCTCGATTGTCCAAGAAACGGACTTCTACGCAGAATAAATCGAAAGCTCCATTTTTACAAGCATTTTCATACGCTCATTTTTATACTACTTAATTCAGTTTAAGCAGCTTGTATGTAGTTTTCTGCTTTAAAACCCTTTCGCAGAACTCCTTACTACTATTTACAATGACTAATCCCGTAGCCTAGCCTTTTTTAAAATGTGCTTCCCTAGCTCTGATTAGATAATTTTGCCCACTATTTAGGACACAATGCAAAACACTTCCACGCATTAATTCTCAGCGGTTAAGATTAACGAAGTGTTTTAAAAATGTTGACTGGTTTTAAAAATATCAGATTTATATTCCACTCAATCATTTCGTACAATAGCTTTATTAATATATATAAAAATATATATAGAAGAAATTGTTATTCTTTTTAATGGTCTCCTGGATACTTGGTTTGGTCGCTTTTGCTCTTCTATCATCTCCTCTAGATGTATGTATAGTGTTGTGAAAAATACGCCAACTAAACTTATTTAATTTTACAAGTTATCCGCCCGAGTGGCTTCAAATCTCAAGTGCGCTTTAAAAGAAAAGAATTTATTCTCAGGTTAAATTTATTGCATGTGTATGTGTAAGATATAATCTAAGCATCGATCCTTTCTTCCCACAAAAGATTGTGACCAACTTAAGGATGTGACCAGCGTAAGGTTGTCGCAGAAAGGAAATTAATATATTTACTGTTTCGATAATTTATAAAAAATAATATTATATTTTATTATCATTTAAGATTCATGAAAATATTAAAATAAATGTTTGTTTGGCTTACCAGCACCTAAGTAAATAAAAGAAGCAACACGAGCATTCAGGTAAACCACTTCTCTAAGCACTTTCAATATTTTCGACAAAATAAAATCCACGCTACAAAATTTTACTAAATAAAATCTTGTATTTAGATACAAGCTAGTAAACAAAATATTAAATTGTAACGTAAACTGCCTTTTGATTCTACAAAGTCTTTTTCAGATTAACAGCTGAATTAAGTTCGTATCAGTTGAATTTGAGAATTCTTTAGGCACACTTCTATGTTTGAAAAAGGTTATCCACGTGAACAGCAGCAACCGTCAGTAAGGAGCGTTTAGTTTCATCAAAAAATATTGAGGAGTTAGCTACAGAAGATGCCATCGAATGTGGAGCAGAAGAAGTTGAAGTCTCTGATGCCGCTGCAGGGCTTGTTAATGTAAGGCGTTTAGAAGCGAAATCTTCGAATGCTGAGAATACTGAACTTCCATGTTTCTATTAGTTTATTTGCAGACCTGAAGAGTTGCTTTCCTTGCGGAAATCGATTGAAACAAAAAACTATATCATCGAAAATATGGAACACATCTATACGCCCGTGGTACATTCAATTGTCCATATTTTTTTGCTTATTGTTCATTCATTTGTTATATTTAGAAATATGTGGAGTTGCCTTCAGAGGAGCACGCGGGCTATGAAAAGTTTCTTGCCAAGCTTCATCAGATTTCCGGTATAGAAGAGATTTATGACAATTTGTTGGATACAAGAGATTAATAAATTTAACATATTATTATTATTATTTTAATTTTAGACTAATGAATTGAATTCTTAGACTAAAAAAAGAGACATCGAGCACTAGCAACAATAATAATAACAAATTTAACATAAAAAACTAATATGAAAGAAAACAATTATATTATTTTCATTTCATTTTCATATTTGCAACATCGCTAAGATATCTGCTTTAATATAGCTTAATTCTTACAAGATGGTTCGATTAAGGCTAATATTGACGTTGATCGGCAGAAAACTTGGCTTTATTCTCATTTTCATTTAGGCCGTATGCATTATAAAAACACTCATCAGAGTTATCCTTTCATCTGAAATTCACTGATTAATGATATTAGAGAAAAAAGTTTTAAGAGCCTTCATAGTGTTTCACTTTATTTCGCTTATTTTATATACAATTTTTGCGTTTACTTTTATATTTCTTGAATTTATTTGGAAATACCTCTTCTTGCACAAATATACGCGACAAAAATTCTAATACTTTTATTCGTAAGAACTGAACTAAGAATAATACACTGAAAACTGAAAATTTGCGCTTAAACAGCCTAGAGCGTAAACAGCGTTGCCATTGCAAAGTGTAATACAATAAACATAATATATTTTATTGCGCTACGTTCAATTTGAAACGAAACAAAATTTACGATATCAATTTGTTTGTTGTGTTTTGCTTGCGTAAGAAAGAAACAAATGGAATGATGAATTATGCTGATCTTTTCCTTACATATGGCAAGAAAAAAAAAAATTATACAAAACACACACACACTTACCACATTCACGGCCAACTATAGCCGTATAGCGGTAAAATCTAAATTTAAAAAAATGGCGAAAATCAAAAGGAGATGAATAGATCTGATGAACGTGCGGTATTCGGCCGTAGCAGTCAGTTTCATGCGGTTTCATACCGAACTTAACAATTAAGAATTAAGTTTAAACAAAACAAACAGAGCCAAGATAGAATCTGCCACTTGATTAACCACCACCAAAACCTGAAGTGAGCTTTAAAAAATTGCTGAATAAAGAATCGAAAGCAGACAGGCTAGGGCATTATTGCATATATCCGCCTTTTAGTTAGTATTTGGGGTGCATGTATAACTAAAACAAGTCTCTGAACAAACAACATAGCGTAAATATGCCATAGGATTTTTTTAAAATTATTTTCGCAAAACTTTTAAAATTTTTGAAAGACAGTAAAAGAATGGCGCTGAAATTCTCCTTTTGACTAAATCCTTAATAATCACCGCGTCAAGTTAGTAAATGAAAATCGTACTTTGTTTTCTATTTGCGATTCGTCATATCTTCTCTCCGTTTTGACAAAATTTTTAGAGTTTAGGACGTTTTTTGGTTTTTTTCGCATTCTTAAGAAGCAGAAAAATTTATCATCTGAATCGTTTCAGTCAAAATGAAAATTTTTTGCGAATACATTTCTCTATGGAGCCCATCTATGCATAATTACTAGTAGATATTCACCAAATCGATTACGAAGTGAGTACATATTCTACATACGCTGCCATAACAGCCTTAACAGCCTTAATTGAGCAATGGTTTTAAATTCGATCTAAGCTAGCCTAATGGACCGCTGCTACGGCCGGCATTTATACTATTTGCTTTGACAATCAAAAGAGTTGCATGACACCGAAACGTTCTCAATAGACGTAGACGTAGATGAATCACCACATCGTGCGCCAGGCGTTTGAAAGTTTGAAAAGAGACAAAATTTCCAATAAACTAAAAAGGCTCTTGCAACAAGCTAATAAAGCACAGAGTCGCTTATAAATGGTTGAGTGCCCAACTAGCAACTTAAATGTTATCGCCAATCTTAAATGCCGAACTTAAGATTCAACTCTGTGAAATTATCTAACGGACCAAATTATCTAAGAAAAATTAGCAAAAGCCGTCGGCAAAACAACATTATCTAACGGACCAAATTATCTAACAAAATTAGCAAAAGCCGTCGGCAAAACAAAGGAAAACTTTGGGATATTTAGTAACTAATGTTTATTTATTTATAATGATGCCATGAAGCGAATGAGGGATCATCAAACTGGAATGATGGATTTTATTATAGAAGAAAAAAAGCGTCAGCTGCCAAAAGATCCCGTTACAGATATTCGAAAACTGAAATCTCATCGACTGAATATATAAATAAATATAATAATAATAATATATAAATAAATATATAAAAACTTAAATGTTTTTTTTAGTATTTAATTAGTTATGAATGTGCGTTCCACTCAAGTGATTGTTCGAATCAAAAACTCTTTTGTATGGAATTTGTATTTTCTCAATTATATAGAATTTGTATTCGGAAATTATTGAGTACGAATGAATATACGCATTAATCTCGCATCGATGAGGCTTTTTTATAAAGACCTGTTAAATGATTGAAAACGTATATACGTTTATTCTCAAAGCGGCACAATACATGCAAAATTCTTGATAATTGTATACGCTTATTCTCAAAGCGGCACAATACATGCAAAACAAATAACGAATATACGCTTATTCTCAAAAATACATGCAAGCGCAATAGATAAAATTTGAGATTTTAAAATTTCTTAATTTATTTTATTTTAGAAGTTAGCCTAGACCGGCATAATTTTTTATTATTAAATTAAACAACGCCCTCGCTAAACTCCATGTTGAAATGCAAAGCACAGAGTCGCTTATAATAAATAAAAAAATTGCCAAAAGTGGTTGAGTGCCCAACTAACAACTTAAATTGACAGATCGTTTAATTTGCAAAGCCGCCAGCTTTATGTCTCACGTAATCTGTTAAAAGAGCTTTATGTCTCACGTAATCTGTTAAAAGAGCTTTATAACTCACGTAATCCGTTAAAATTGATTCATTATTTAACAGAGCTGAATCTTTGTTTTCTGTTAAGTTGGGCATGTAACTTAGCTGAATAGCGTTACCATTTAAGTTGTTAAGTTGAGCTTTTAATCATTTATTTATTATAAGCGACTCTGTGTTTTGCCTTTCAGCAGGGAATTTAGCGAGGGCTTTGTTTAAAGCATATTCTAGGCGAAGCTGTCGAGCTGGGAGAAACGGAAGATTTTGCAACCTTGTACAGTTTTTACGGGATTTGTATGATAAAAGAAATTGCAAATAATGTTAACTTCATTAGTAATGCTAAAGAAGATTTGGTAGCAGAACGTCATAAATGTTTGTTCATCGCTTGCGTTCAAGACATAGCTCAATGGAGTTTGCAGCAACACTTACATCCAAATTTTTACAAAGGAAGACCTGCCTTGTTCTCCAGGCCTCATGATAAAAAAACGAGTTTTAAAAATCTGGAAATTTATATTGGAGGATTTACACACGTATTATTTATTAAACCTTTACATATTGGCAAATCTCTAGATGAACCTATTCTGCAATACATGGCTGGTATTTTTAGTTTATTAATGGCCTTTGAAGATAAAGAATATGTAATGGCTGACCAAGAAATCATTAATAAGACTGCATGCTTACAGCGCGTTTGGTTATCTCTGCCTAAAGCTTTATATTTTCGAAACTTAATGCTAATGAAAAACAATAAAATTTTATCATCTTCCGGGCAAAAGATTTTACTACGCCAGTTATTAGTACGTCTTTGGTCGCCGGGTGGTTTCAACGCAGTAGTCTTTGCTTTGGCTGAATGTAAAAATGAAGAACATTCGTTGGAAGAACTGATTTCACGTTTAATTGCTCAACCTGCTTACTCGGCGAAGGCTCAGAAAAGCTTGATAGCGCAAATCCTTAACTTTTTGCAATCATGTGTGGATAACCAGGAATTGCTGCAATATATGGGAGTGGGCCTGTTGTCTCTGCGGCGACTTTATGATCTTAACGACGAAAATAAAACCTTTGTAGAAGGATGGTTACAAAGTCAATTACACATTTTGATTCAACCAAGCTGCGAAAAAGACTTCGCAATAATGGATTGGTCTAATTTCCAGAGCCTCATATCCTTCCTATTTCATCTTTTCTGTACTTCCACCGTAGAGTGCTTGCCTAGTAATTTGTTAACGTCGTATCTAAATCTTATATTGAATATCTTTTATCATGTGCAACAATATAATAATGTACAGCTTTTACAGGGGCAATTGAAAGCGTTAATTTTAAAATGCCTGCACAATCAAAACGCCAAAGACTTGCATAAGCTAATTGAAGCTTTAGCTCTCCAGAGAACTGATTTCAATGGATGGTTTGCTTTAAATGATTGCATACGCTTTGATGAAAATCCTTTAAATTCACAAGATTTAAGAATTATTCTTACGTCAGAAGGCCCACATCTTTGGGACCCTCTTCCCGCGTTGGTTATTATTTTAAAATCTTCAACTTTTAATTTGCTTACCTACAATATATTTTTAATATTATTTCGTCTCTTACCTAAATTAATGAAAGAAGACGAAGAAGAGAAGAAAATAAGTGAAAGCATGGAATTATTACAACCGGAAGATCTTCAGCAGACAATATTACGGGAAGTTAATAGCACGTATGCAGGAAGATTGCACATTATAAAGGCTTTGGAGTCTCTTGTGCAACACCAGCCTATGAAGTGTATGATCAATGAAAATTGCAGTGAATTGCTTCGATGTCTTGCCGATATTCTCATAAATTTCGCTGAGCTCAACAAGCACCTTGTCGAAATAAATGAGTCGACTTTGATGATAACCTTAATATTAATTCGAGAAGTTATGCAAATTTCTACGAGCAGTAGTGACGATTTTCAAACAGTTTTATCCAAGCCGCTGCATAACCTCTATGAAAACATTGATCGTCAAAGTCTAAAATATCAAATTTTATCTTTATTACATCTGTTGCAACGGCAAAATAACCTGAATGTTAGATATGAACCTTTGAAAAATCAATTTGAAGAAGCTCGTGGTCTAGTGGAAGCGAAAGAGTCCTACCTACAAGTGGAGGGTATTGAGAAACTAATAAAACTCGTAAATTGCCGAGACGCCTACACCGTCAGTAATGGTCACGCTGTAGTAGCCATGGCTTTAAATACTTTAAAATCTCCAGAATCCTATACGTTCCTTAATTGTGTTCGTCTGTTTACAGCCTTAGTACAAGTAATGGAAGTTGAAATTTTGGATTTGCTTGGAGATGAATATATTGCCGATTCTAGTACTCTAGATTATCGCCTTGTAGTTGGCGAAGTTATTTTAAAAATAGGGCGTGAATTAGGTAAAATTTTTTATCTTTTAAACAATGCAATTCTTATGAGATTTAATTGCAGGTCCTTTGTGTTATAAATATAAATTTATTCTCTTGAATTGTTTCATGAATGGCTGTCGTTCACATCTGAGCGAATTTCGATTATCTGCCTTTTCAAATTTAGCGCAATTGTGTAGAATACTTACCTATCAAGTCCATCAATATTTTCAGGAAGTAAGATTATATTTATTCTTTATTAGCCTCAAGTTTTTTTACCCACCATCTAGGGTGTCGAAATGCTATTGCGTTTTTTTGATGAATTAGGTTTCTTTTGTAATTTTTCCATATCAGGACAAGCGAGAATAGAAATGTTATTGTACTGTGTAATTCGACTAAATTACTACTCTTAACGCCTTTGAACCACAAGAAAAGAGGTATTAATAGTTGGTTACTTACCATAGATAATGCAGTGCAGAAAAATGAGAAATTCGATGTATTGATTCGTCCGCAACGTAAAGGATCTAGTAATACTCGTACACTATTTTATCAAGATAAAGTGTAGGCATTTAATTAGACTCTTATTATTTAAATGAAATTAATTACATCTGAACCGTAGGTGGTGGGTATTGGAGATTTTTTTTTGAATGAGAATCTTGCTTATTTATTCAATTTTCAGTTGCTTCACTTAATTGATTACGAAATCACTTCCGGTAAATATTTGCCCGCGAAAAGAGCTGCTGTTTTGGTGCTTAGTGATTTACTAGAAGGCATGGATAACCTCATCGATTATGAGGAAATGCTTTTACCCATTTATCGACTATTAAAATATTTGGCATATTTTAAGCAAAGTGATGAACAGATACGTGTACATGCTACCAATGGTTTAAAGAGCTTATCAGAAAAGTGCACCAAATTACTGGAGGATATTACTGCATCACCTCTGGAAAAAGAAATTAAAATCCTCGGGTTAAAAGACAGCTCTAAACCAGGTCTAAAGAAACATATACTTGTAATGAATTAAATAAATTACATTTTTGTTATATGTATGAAAAAACAAGCAAAAAACGCATCGACATAGATTTAAAACCGGATCGAGTGAATGTTTGAACTAAACAAACAATACTTTTTATAAGAAAAATAATTTTTTCCAGCTGAATTAAACAAATAATACTTTTTATAAGAAAAATAATTTTTTCCAGGTGAAGAAAATTGTCAGCAGAAAATCGAAATATATTTGAAACGTGAAAAAAGAAAATTTCGATCATGAAGAAGTATCCTCTTTTGCTGATTGACGATTATTTTAAATATTACGCTGAATTGTGATAAAAAGCCCTTTGAAAGTGTGCAAAAGTGAAAACATAATAATACATTGACAATTGAAACTCAACTAAAACAAAACTAGTAACTGTTAGTGCAACGTAGCTGAGAGAAAAACTGCGTTATATTCAAAAAAAAAAAAAAAGAAAAGAAAACAAGAACTGACACGTCTGAAAAAGTGAAACACCGCAATTTGAGAAAGCAACCTCGTTAGCTCTTACTGCGGAATTTATTTCACCCGAAGTACATCACTACAAGCCCCGACTGCATTCCATTTCATAATTTGACTCTCTATCATCCCTAAGGCTATAAAACTCAATCTGCGCAGTATGGTTTTTCACAGACACTATCTCTCTCAAAAGTGGGGACATTAAAATCCCCAGAGCCAGATCTTATGCCCACACTATTGTTTAAATACACAATAAATATATACACTGGATAAATATCCAGCTTAGAAACAATTCTTTGCCACTAATAGAACTCGGCCAAGATTTGTATCATGATTTCTTTACCTTGGAGATTTTTATCATCTCTAACAAAAAAATAAAATTGATTACCTCCGATGCGGCTACGGAATATTCTATTGTCGTCAATGCTTCATTTTACGATATTTATAATATTTGCATTCCAAACGAATCGCTTGAAATTTGTGTGGTTGCTTCCATCCTTCAAATTTACTCAACTGCCTGTCCCAAAAACCTACTTAAATTCGGACCCCTCCCTAACTTCTGCAAAGTTGCAGAAGTCATGCGCTTCTGCAAATTTGAAACTCCAACTCTCCTGCGCTTTTTGACGCAGTCCGCATAAGTTTTTCCGGGAATGTTTTACCCTCTCATATTTGTTTGGAAGGCTTTAACTTCCCGATCAAACCCTATGTCGAACCAATTTTACAATGCCGCGAATGGTGGTCTTTCGATCACACGGATAAAATATCCTCGCGTCAATCGTCCTTTGCGTAAGCCTTGAATGCTCCTCCAACTGGTCTCAAGCTAAAAAATGCTTCAGCTGTAAGGGGGAGTATCCATCTAGAACTTCTCCATCATATAAGATAATTGTAAATTTATAAAAGACGCAGCGAATTGTCTTAAGCTACAAGTTTACTCTTTCTCTCGGAGTACATACGCACGTCCAAATTATAGTAATAACGATTTCTCAATTTCTCTGGACAGCTTCCCAAATAGTCTCAGCCTACAATCAAACGACCAAATATTGGGGCTGCTATTTCAGTTCTAATTAAGAAGACTCTAAATCGTGAAATCACCATATTCCCTTCCAATATAATATCCTCAAATCCTGAGATTGTGACAACCATCACAGACAATCTTCCTTCCGATCACGAAACGATCACTGTCACACACAATTCCAAGCCGTTCTCTCAAACAAATTTTATTATTAACTCCGCCGCATGCTTATCTTGCGACCTTTACAAGGATATTCTTAACCAACGATTCTCCTCGGGTTCGTACTCCTATTTCCAATCGGGCAATAATGAAAATAGCTCAACTTAATTGTCGTGACAAATTAAAACAGCTGGAAAAATACCTTCATTGTAATAACATGCCATGTGTTTCTGAAACTTCTCTTATGTCCCATGATTCATTTTCTATTAAAAATTATAACGTGGTAAGATTTGATCGTATTTCCAACTCATCTAATGCTACTGGGATGGCGATCTTCACATCTAACAAGCTTTCATTCTTTTGCGCTTCTAATTTTGCAAATTTGAAACTTGTAGCTGTGCCATTCACATTTCCTTTGGAAAACTCTTGATCATAAGTTGTCATATTTTATCTAATTTTAATGTTTCTGGTTCTGCAATCTATAGGTTATTTTCTTTCAGATCCGACAAATCTGCATCAATATATGGTGATTTTAATGCTTACATTGTGTGTTGGTGTAGTTGTTGTAGAAAGCAGCAATCTAGGCTTACTGAATAATGATGATTCTACTAATTTTAGTTCCTTCTTTTCTTGTAAGGATCTTTCGATCTCTACACCCAATCTAAGTTGAATGAGAATGGCCCTTAACAACACTTTAGGTGGTTCTCACTGTCTAATCGTAACTGGTCTTTGATTTCCTATTATCCGTTGCTATTCATATATTCATATTTCAAAGTATTACAAACGCTCTGAACTGTCTTACTTAACAACACTGTCGGTCACATTTCGAATATCATCCAAGCCAATGGTTTTTCGGATCTTTCTTGTCAGATTCTCAATGTCTTTCACAGATGCTCTGAAACGAAAGTCTCGTAGAAATTCCTACCCTCCTTGGTGGAACGTTCAATGTAGTCGACTCGCTGCCAAATTTAAACTTTCTGCAAACAATGCACTCCTTGTAGGATAATTTTCAAATTTTTGGCCCATATTAGAAAGGAATATACTCTAAGGCTGGAAAAACGTAAATTCTGGAAACAATTTTGCGAAATTCTCTTCAATCAAATAAACACTAAAATAAATAAATAATAATATTATGTACCAAATCTAACCCTAACTTTACGAAGGCCCAAACAAAGAGCTCTGTGTTCACATTGGGCCTTTTTTACATATCTCAGCGAATTTCCGGTTGTTGGTTTGCTGAACAACAGAAGAGGAAGAAGAATTAAATTTTTTATACATATATATATTTTTATACAATAACAGCAGACTATTATGTACATAAAACTGTGCAGGGCTTTTCGGCATTGTCTTAAATACATGTTCACCCACATGAATTTCGTGAAGCAGTGTACATAATTTCATCGCTTTGGAGTGTGCATTTTTCACCAAATTCAACTTTATTGTATTATTTATAACAATGTTGTAGGCGGTTTCTGTCGATAGGCTTTTTCTTTGCTCTCTGCAAAGGTAGTGTTACGTTCAATCAAGGAATTCCGTTAATCAAGATTTTTTTCTATAGTTCTTTGCTCACAAAGTATCGTCATTTAAAGGGAGAACTATGAGAAGGCAAAAAGTCCAAAGTTTGTCTGTATAGCATAAGAGTAGGTTTTGTATAAAAAAAGTGGCTTGCTCCTTTTTTATGATTACTGGGACAAGCGAGATAACGACCTGATACAGATTCTCAATTAAGTCAAGTGTGTTTGAATGGAGAAATTAATTAATATTTTTCCAGTTAAAAAGAAAAAACAAAAGGCTTTGATTGCAGAAAAGAGTCGTTGGCAAGATAGTGAACCGTTCAGGTAAACGTGTGAGAAAGAGAGCCAATAGCATAACTACGGAGTTTTCTTTTAATAATCGTGCAATTTGCAAAACGGATATTTTATATATTTATATATATAAAACAAAATAAAAAGATATAAAGTTTGATTGGCATACGAATAGAGACCTAAAATTGTGAATACCTTACAGAAGCTTAAAAGTTTTATGAATTGTTGGTAATTTACTGTAATTTTGTGCTAAATTAATAGACAAAAATAACAAGAAGTTATTATCGATAGAAAGATATGAACATAAAGAAATGGTCTTCAGTGGCAGTTTTGAAAAGAAGAAATCAAAGTAAAAAAAAAAAGGTAACAGTTTGAAGTGCATTTTTTTGCGCCTTGAAAGGAGTACAAATACGGCAATTCAATAAACAAAGTGCCATGTGAGGAGGGAAAGAAAGAAAAACATTACACCAAGTAAGGAAAATGTCGAGGAGAGGAATTAATTAAACAAAATTAAACGAAAATTAAAGTTAATTTTAGGCTAACTTGTAAAATTATTATTATTATTATAAATTTAGCCAGAGAATAAATTCTTTTCTCTTAAAGCGCAAGCATAAAAAAAAACTTTACTGCACTTGAGATTTGAACCCACGACATTGAGTTAAAATTTCGCGTCAAAAAAGTGGAGGTTCCAGTTTTGTATGTGTTCAATTATTACAAACATTCATTATATATTGTTTTTGAAAACTTTGAGTTTAAAATTAAACGCTCATGCTATACATTTTTTTATAACGATGTACGTAATATAATAAGAGAAGCAAATGATAAATTAAATTCATATATGTATACATATATATATATATTCTTAACTCTTAGCACAGAAACGATTTTCCTTTATATACGAAGGCTATTGAAAAACAAAATTTTATTTTTTCAGTTTTCAAGAACGCTTGGTAATTATACATCAACCAAATCGTTATTAGAATAATCTTGTAGAGATTCCATGCTCTAACTCCTCTGTTGTTCTCCCTTGCTAACGTTTTTATTTCTACTACAGGTGATTTGGGTATCGACAAATGGAACGAATTAAACACCAATGATATGTTAATAACGAAAAAGGTAAAGAAACCAACATTTTTAACCGATACGGGATGTATGAAACATATATAAAAAAAAAGAAAAGAAACTATAGAAAATATGACGGAAAAGGCCGTCTTCTTAGTACTCTGCCTTGTTATTCCGTGCACTTCTCTTAAAGGGAACGAAAAATTTTCGTGGTATCTTACCAATTTATAGGCCGTGTGAGTAAAATGCAACGGGAGTAATGCAATTTAATTGGCTAGTAAATTGGTTTTCTTTCAGTAGCCTTGAACAATTGGTGTCTTTGTATCTCGTATGCCATGACATTCGAATAATGACTAATGAAATGCGTGTTTTATGGTAGAATTCGAATTAAATTTACAAATACTCCTCTAAAGTTTTCGTTCGTGTTGATGGTCGCTCGACTGGTAACCGGTAACATGAATTGGAACAATAATATGTCTCTGAAATTTGGTTCTAACAACCGATCGATATTCGGTGTGGATTATCGGATAAGCCAATGGCAAAGACAGTAACAAGGCCACAGTTTGTTAAACAGTATATATTTCGATGTAACGAACCGACATGATTTCAACAAGTTTATAACCGGTTAACATTTAACACATGATACCGAGTTGACTTGTGTTCAGCGTAGTACATGTTTTCTTTTCGTCTGCGATTTTTCAATTGTTTCGGTGTTTTTGTGTATTTAACTCCAGTTTTTCAGTGTTTTTGCTAAAACTGGTTATCGCGGATATCTCGTATGTGCTTTTGTTTCCTCTTTATTTAATAAAAAAATAAAAAAAAAAAATTAAAAAAAAATTGCAAACAATTGGCATTTTCCTTTAGTAGTTCCCAACCTTCTTCCA